ATCACAAGCTTTTGAATAAGATAATAATTAATGTTTTGATTGGATTTTCTTTTTTAGTACATGCAAGCATGTTTTAAATGGATAAATCTACTATATTATATATATATATATATAAAGTGAAAACAGGAAGTTCATTAACTCCATCATGTACTTCTTTAGGGGGAAAAAAGGTGAGTAATATGCCCTACTTTTAAATGTGTTGAGTTATATTTTTAAAGTATAATATATTATATATAGTATATGCTAAGAATGAGACTGTGTGAAGATAAATAATGGAAGCTTAGTTTCGAAGACCTCAATGTTGATATTTACCAACTGTACTGAATTAAGGCATATTTATTCGGAAAACGTCATGAAACTTAAGATTGGGTGTTAAAATTTTTTTGTCCTTTATTAAGTTATCTGTACCTCTCAGACCAAAAATGAAAAACCTGGGGTCAATATTATGCCCTTCTTTGTTTTTTTGGTGAGAAATGACATGTTTTTCACGTTCTATTTACTCTTACAAAAGTTTCACTTGCAAAACAAGTAGTTGTGCGTATTATCTAGAACCCAATTGGGTTGGTGAATGAATAATTAATACAGCAAATAGGACTTAAGTGGAGGAGTGGACAAACGTCCTTTCTCAAGGGGGGCGAGTAGTTTACTAACTTTGGACTTAGTATTTCTGGCTTGTCCTTACCTTAGTGGTGGACTTGCAGTGTTTTAGAGAGAGAGAGAGAGAGAGAGAGGAAGCAATAATTGAGAACGTGGAATCACAAAGTTAGGGAAATTGTCAAACGAAAACTTTCTAATAATTCCAAATAATACTATTAAGCCTTCCCCTGTTGGGCAACTTTATTTATTTCCCTAGAATATGTCCTGATTTCTTATACTGCTCTCCCAATAAAGTCATATGCCCTTTTACTTTTAGCAATTTGTGGAAAAAACTCCGCCAACTCATTCCCTCTCCACATCTTATCTTTTGATTCTCGTAGAGCTTTGATTTGCATACCTACAAAATTGATCTTTCATGTGGAAACTATTGCCTCCTTTTCTCCCCCTTAAGGCCGCTAATCATTGCCAAGCAATAATTACTTGAAACTATTGTGCTATTGTCAAAAGTCTTTCTTTCTTTATTTATTACTATGCTTTCATTATGTATGGATGGATGGCCGTTGTTATTATCATACTTTGTGAGGAAAACAAAGGGTTGTTTGCTCACACGCCATAGCACATCAAGTCTTGTTGTTGCTTTCACTCTCCCACCTTCACGTTTCATCACGGTATCTCCTTCCTCTAAAATATATTGTTTTAATTTCCAGTAAAATTTAACATAATTGAGATTTACAATGAATTGTATAAATTTATTAATTGATCTGATTAGATTACCATTAATTCAATAATAATAACATCTCCTACCTATATACACATTGAAAAGAACCATGCTTAAATTTTGACATAACCTTTCACTTTTACTACCTTAATTGCCCTATTTTTATCTAAATAGAGAGAACGGTTTTGGGTTTCTTTCATTTCTTGATTTTATGGATTTGACACAACCTTTTACTACCATAGCCACCCTGCTGTCGATTGAACAAAGAGGTATTTGTTTTGGAATTTCTGCTTTTTGTTAGAATCTTACGGCCTATCCAAGGAATAGGTCAGGTCCCAAAAAGTTATGGCTCTTACAAACTGGGCATCGTATAAAGGAAACGACGCCGAGCTAGGATCAGTTGGCTGTAGATTTGGGTCAACTCAACTCTGCTGTGGTGAAGTTCGTGCTTGCCGGATTTTGTCAGGTACTATAGGAGGCCTAAAAATAATTGGTGGTCCAATAAAATGTTATAAGGTAGGTGCTGAAAGATATTTGCAATGAAGAGCTTAGGAATCGAAAGTCTTTCGTGGGTTATTCTGACATCAACACCCACCTAACTTACATAGATTTTATATATGAAAGGAAGGGAAATTAATTATAATGCCCCCATCTTTCTCGCTTCTTTTATTATTTTTAATTATATATTTATGTGCAAAAGGCAACAAGAAATGGGATTTTGGTAGTACTATAGTATAGCAGACACGTAGAGGCGAAACGAGGGCTTGGTGTTTCTTTCCTTCTTATGGACTGGTACTCAACTTGGGGCTATGCAAAAATATATGGGCTTAAGTTGGATTTAGAGATAGTTGGGTTCAATCAGGCTTTCGGATTGGGCCGATGTAAGCCCAAATTCAAGTTACTGAAAAGTGAGAACAATGAGCAGCAAAGACACTCGACGAATATGTGCAATTATGACGAGCAAAGAAACAATTACCGGTAAACATAATGCTCGCAAGGCACAACACATGGCGATCAAAAGATTCAACTCAGCGGTTTTGAAATGATTACTGGGACTGAGCTTCGAGTTACAAAATCTAAGATTGATAAACGCCAACTTGGCCTCATGTAGAAGTATAGATGGTAATCGTATGAAACAAATTCGGTGCCTATTCATACAATATAATACTATCAGAATACAGCAAGGGCACAATACACCGGTTCCACAACTACCAGGAATCACTCAACAAAATCATATTTGTTCTCAAGTCATGACTTAAACAACAGAAATGATCATCATGCTTCAAATAGTGCTTTGAGATTATAAGGTCCAGTAATATTGGCAGTTCCACTCCATAGTAGCTCGGCGATATGCATTTGGGTCTTTTCAGTGAGATGAAAAGAGTTGAAAGAAAAAGATATTCAGTAGAATCTGGACAAACTTGTACTCTTTCCAAGCTCCCCTCTTTCCCCCACAGTTGAAAATTCTTCTGTACGGGCCAGTGCCTCAGCATGCTGTAGTTACCTCCTTCAAACCTTCAAAACATTGAGGATCGGTCACAAAATTTAGACTAGAAATATGCATGCTTTTCACTTAAATGCAAGAAGAAGATTCCACAACTCCTACCATATATTTCAGGATTACACAGTATTTCAGTAGCAGTAACATTAATATCCTGCTTTGTGTATCTAAATCCTTCTATTTGGATATTCGACTCCTGTAAAAACTTTAGGAAGTGCTGCATTCTACAGTTTTGATAGTGCTGTGCCTACTGGGATGGGGAAACCTGCATTTACCGGTCCTTTCATGGATAGCACTAAACTTTATCCCCATGGACAGAACCCCGAATTTCCTTCCTCCCTTTTTTGTATATTTCCGGAAATTAACATCAAAATGGAATATACATCGCAACTTATTCATGTTGGGATAGAAAAGGATGTTTAAAGGGGGAAAGAGATTAAAATGCTTGAACAATACGGAATTACTATGATAGCATTAGTTACATTGCCAATCACCATTCCAACATATTCTTCTATGAAGGATTGAGACACGTTGGAGTGTGTCCAGTTAAAGGATATGTAATCACTGGCTCCAATGGTAATTAAGTGAACAGCTTGGGAAACGCATTTTCCTTTCATAGTTGAAAGAGGAGATGATTTTTGTTTACAGGTTCAGGGAAATGCATTGTATAGAGGTGATTTTGGACTGTTATTCCGAAAGGAGATATAACAAAACAAAATCATCTCGTCCTTTCAGAGGTGAACAATTGTTCCCCTCTGTCTTTAATACAAACTGGAACTTTCACTAATTAAAACAAAAAAAAAAAGTAAACAACCTGAGATAACAAAATTTTGGCTTCTGCATCCCCTAGTTTCCGTCTCAGCAGCTTTTCCACATTCTTGAAATGACTTGACTGAGTTCTCAAATCTATCGCCTGGGATTAACCCCCCAATATATAAGTTGGAAAAGAATTAATTATTCAACCATGTGAAACAAAGTGGAAGAAATCATCTTCTAACAGATAACTTAGTTTGCTTGATATTTATAGCGTTGTTAGCGTCCTACATGAGGGAAAATGCAGTCTAATCAGTTTAAAAAAGTCTGCTCTAAGGAAAGCCTTAAATAAAAGAGAAATTTCAATGGACCAAATAGCAAGGAAAAAGGAGTACAACAATTATTAGCATTAATGTAGTATTTAATCAATCCTACCAATCTCATCTTAACCTTAGTTAAATAATCATATAAACTAGCATTAGTAATTGTGATTAAACACACTTAACAATATGAAACATTGTTTAAAAAACAAAATATTGTATGCAAAATCACATTTTACTTGGAGCTCAATATAGATTCGCAAAGATTCAAGCCAAAATACTATATGTTTAGTATCAAATGTGAATTCACAAGCATAGACCATTATTTGTAATGAAGGCTATCTTAATTATTGATTCTAATTTGTCATGATTACCATTTCAATTGATATGATTTGATTGACTTGGTTATTCTAATTGAT